TCTGCCATAGGAGACATTAAGAGACTTTTGGCTAATCTCCTTGGGATTCCAGGTATGGAAGAAATTTTTCAGAGAGCTGGACTTCATAGATATGTGGGAACTGCTGTGAATGATCCTGAATTGTTGGCTGCAAGCAGGAATCGGCTGTGGAGAGCACTGAAGGATACGTTTCCAACAAATGTGCATCCTGACAACATTCTGATTGACCCACTAGGACAACAAGAAAATCCGAGAGCCTACGTGTCAAGAGTTCATCAAGTGTGGAGAAATATTACCGGAAATGATCCAGATGTGAGTCAAATTGAGCAGTCAATCTTGAGAGCTAAACTACAGATGGGACTGCCCTTACCGGTAAGGAGCAAACTGGCAGAAGTGGTTGGACTTGGGAGCATGACAAAAGGTGTCTATACAGATCATATAGCCCATCAAGTGGATCTGTACCGGAAAAAGGAACACAACCAGAAAGAACAGGACCAAGAAACTCTCAGAAAACTCAATCAAATACAACTGGAGAAGAAGAAGGAGAAAATAAGCTTTGGTTATGCAGAATCAGTGTAAACCAAATCAACAATCACTGCTACAGTTTCAACTGAACAAGGTCAAATACAATTGTACCAGACACCAATAGCGGTACCAATTGTTTCATATCCATAGATAGTTTCTGGAAAGAAAGAATTTCAGAGGAAGATACAGGAGCAAGTGAAGATCATCTGGAGGACAGGTGAATCCTTTAGAGGAAAGGAGCAAGAATTCTAGAGGTGCCCAGAAGATCCGAAAAGGAGGAGTTTCAACTGATAGCTCCGATTAGAGAAGAAGAGAAAAAGATCCAACAATTGAAGTGAAAATAAACAATGGACTATGGGAAGTGATGATGGATAGCAGAAAGGCGTTTATCTGTGTTCAGCCTGAAGAGGTTACACATCTCACTATGTCAAATCAACTAATTATGAGAAGGATTTGGAGGAGTGAAAATCAGCGATTTCTGAAAATGATGATTTTGGCTCAAGGACAAGGAGAGTCATAAGCTGTACGGAAGATGAACGAATGTGTTTGAAGTGTGAAGATGAATTGAGAATCTATGGAAGAAGAGATGTTGAAAAAGTTCAAGAATGTTTGTGATATCAAAGTAGTACTGATATTGGATTTGTGAAATCAGCTCAATTGAGATGAAAGTTGAGGAGGCAGACCTCCTTGGAAGAATCAGTATCCATTGAAAGATGAAGCAATCCAAGGGATTGAACCAGAAATTTAAGGACTTTCGAAAGCAAGTGTTTTGAAGACAATAGAAAAATCGTTAGAGTAGCAATCAAATATTGTTTAGGAGAAACCATGATGATTTAGTAAGCTATGGGTTAGCTTATGTTGTAAATGGGAGATTAGGATAAAAATCACAAAGGAGTAGAGTTTTTGGGAACCATATTTTCTTGAATAGATTGACTATGTCATAGGCAGATGCACAATCTGTTTGAAAAATAATGTGTGACTGTTATTCTTGGTTACATTCATATACCAAGAGGTTCATAAGATGTTCAACTAAGCTAAAATATGCTCAGTCGGTTGCAAAGTTGTTGTGTAAAGAAGTCATAAGCAGGTGGGAATTTCCCGATTTAATATCCTCAGAAAATGGGAAAGAGTTTTGTGAATAAATCAGTGAAATGGGTTTTTGAAAAAATGAGAGAAAGATAAAATTGGAAAAAGTCAGACTAAAATGTTATGAAAACTACAGTTGAAATAACTCTAGGAAATTTGGAATATCTGATTGTGGGACAATTATATTATTGTGATGAATCAAAGGGGGGAAATGGAATGTCATTATTTTATATATACCTTCATATATCAATTTTAGTTGACATTGATGTTTTAATTTGCATGTGTTGTTTTGCAAAAAGATACTGTTTGGTATTTTCTTTTCTTCCAGAAGCATATGGGGGAATATGTAGAGGGACTCAAATACTCAAACATGGACAATATGAATGGACTGGAGGAAGTGGAACAAGGAAGGAGTGGAAATGTTCCGATTCCATCATCAACATCGCATTGAAAGACGACACTGTGGAGGAGATGAAGTGTAGTGGACTACATTCCAGTGTTATATTCTTTCTGTATTAATTTTTGAACAATTATGTTTTCTGTGTTGGGTACATGTGGGGACCTCAGATGTTTTTGTTTATTTCGTTGAAGTTTAGGGATATGGGGTCTAGGCAAGGAAAGAGAGAATCCACAGGAGGGTCCGATGGGTCGACCAGCCTGAATGTGGACATTTTGATGGTATTTTGTTTGCTGGGGTTTTCATATGTATTCAATTGCATCATAGCTTAAAATGTATTCATGAAGATGTGTGAATTGATCTGGAGTACTTAGGTGGTCGCCTAGGGCAGAGGGGCCGTGAGAGAATTTTCCTGTCTTGACTGACTGATGGATATTTGGAATGAAAGCTGCCAGACAGGTTTTTCGCTCTTACACTCCATGACAATTCATTTACACTCCATAACAATTTATTTACACTCCATAATAATGTATTTACACTACATACAAAAATGTGTCTATATAAACATGTGTTTAATCTCCATAAATTTTGGTTTATTGTTAAAGTTACTCAAGAACAAGAATTGTTATTTGTCATAATCCTATTCTTTTTGTTTTCGAGACTTAATTAGTCTCGAAGGGGGGAAATATATAGTGTCTTAAAGTCTACAATATGCTGACTGTTGCAGAAAGTGTGATAGAGGGAACTTGGCCCTAAGATTTTGCTGATGTGGCAAAATGGTGTACTCTACTGTGCTGGAAACATCTGGAAAACATTACTGTGGTTCATGGAAAGATGATATGGGGAGCAGTGTGGAAAAGGCCAGGGATTGGTTTTTTAGAATCACACCATATTACGTCATAAATAATATAAAACCATGTCTTGAACAATAGAAGGGGAGAATAGCAAATTACTGATTGGCTGTGCTGTCTCACAGATATCTGCAGAATCTGTCAAATTCCGATGCTGGAACCTTTGTTATAATAAACCTTTGAAAACAGAGTACAGTGTCGGCGGATTCCTTATCATCACAAGCATGGACCAGCAAAGGTGTGTCTTTTAGACACTACACAGGTTTTGTAACGGTTTGTCATTCATTTTTTGGCACAGAGTCTAGGTTCATTACTCTACACGCAGCCAGAGACAGTAACCGCAGCATCGCCCTTGCAAAAAACCTGCAACAGATTTACTTGTGAAACGCACACTCGGCACTCTGATTGGACCAGCAAACTGTCAATCAACACAGATAATTTACTTATGAAACTTGCATTTGGAATTTCTTTATCAAATTAATTATTACTGTGGCGACGACGCACAATTGCGCTCTCCAAACTCCCGCCAGTGGAGGGTGTTTTCTTTCTCTTGTTGAAACGTTTGCTGTTGCTTTCACACGTTTAAATGCATAGGCCTTATGTGGTAAATCTATATTCCATCTAATCCTAAAATAATTTCTAGCGTTTCATCATTACATCCCCGTATGGTTTATTGCAACATGTAGAAATGTTTGTTCCATGTTTGATAGGCCTACATAGACATTTCTGTTTCATGTTTGATAAGCCTAGAGATACATTGGCGCGATGTTTATAGCGCGCCAATGTTCTAAATTGGCGCGATGTTTATAGCGCACATGAACGTTCGTAAGAAGTTCTGTTTATTTAATGTATGGTTTCCTTTGTCCATATTTCCGGGTAATGACACAGTTCCGTGTGTCTGTGTCCTATGTCACTGTCATTTTTGTTGTGCGTAATAGGCGAGCGCGCGCCTCAGTGCGCATAGAAATAGGCTACTTGACCTGCGCTCCACGCTTTGGAGTCAGAACGTTGAATTAGAGAAAATGATTGTTCCATTTAATATCATTAATAATCATGAAGTTTGATTAAGACGAAGGTACCAATGTAACAATGGATGTGGAAATTGCCTTTTATATTGTAGAACCAGTTTATTGGTTATAATTGCTAATTGGGTAATTGTATGGTTATGTGGATCCTGTATTATTTGAGACTATTTGAGCTCCTGTTTGACAGATTCGATTTGGTTTCTCAAGGGGAGGCTGTGCATTCTTGCCCTCTACCTGTGTCCGTTCAGATAGGATATGTTAACCCTGATACAGAGGCTATTTATTTTGGGCTATTGCCCGTGTATATTTAGCATGATAAGACCTGTAAATAAATCTACATGTCAACCTACCTTGCCTTCTGCTGATGTCATGCCCTATTTTACAATTACATGGGCTAATCAAAATGTGTTGTAGACAAAATAATGAAAGAGCTGCCTGTAGCCTCAATAAATAGACAAAGATTTGTAGTTAAACAAGTCGTTGCATGTATATCTATATTTTTTACTTGACTGAGATTTGACTTGCCCTTAGAATGCATGACTTAAACTTGAATCTTGACCTGTTCTACTTGGGACTCGACTTGAGACTCAGACCTTGTGACTTGAAACTTGCTGGTGACAAGAATAATTGTGACTTGGTCCCACCGCTGGTAATGATCATGCTGTTTAATCAGCTTCTTGATTTGACACACCTGTCAGGTGTATGGATTATTTAGCAAAGGAGAAATGGTCACTAACAGGGAAGTAAACACATTTGTGCACACAGTTTGAGAGCTAAGCTTTTTGTGCATATGGAACATTTCTGGGATATTTTATTTCAGGTCATGAAACCAACACTTTACATGTTGTGTTTATATTTTTGTTCAGTGTATTTGAGTGTTAAGCTATTCACTGTGTTAATTTAGAAGAGGATGTTCATCATTGTGCTATGTAAGAAGCATCTCTGTCATTCCCTGTCCTTACAGTATCAGTTAGCTCTAGCTAGTGCAGTCGAGTTAATCTAGCAGTGTCTATTCTGTGTATCTGATAGAATAAGTCTGCGAGCAACAATGACAAACAAATCAAATTTTCCATGTTTTCCTTTTTATTGAAAAAAATTAATTTGATTAACAAGCAAATAACCTTTAAAAAAAGGTATTTATCAGAATAGTACAAACCACTACAGTTGATGGGGCAGCTTGAGGGGGTTGTTGAACAAGAGAAAGGATGAAATAAGGCATAAAAGAAAGAAGAGAGGGATGAATTTTACATGGAGAACTGGGAGAGAAAAAGACTGCCAGGGCAATGACTTTCCAAACATGAGATGCTTAACTCTGTGGTAGAAACTGTGGATGGAGGGATGTAGAGAAGGGTAGAGGAACTTTAGAAGGGGTGTTAGTTCTTTATTTCATGAACTTGTGCTGCTGGTCCTGGAGGATCTTAGCGGAAGACTTGGCATCATAGAAGAGCTCATTGATCTCCTCCACCTGCTCCCGCTCTACTCCCTCCTTCCCCTGGACTCTGCCTAACAGACTGGCTGGGGTCAGCAGCTGCGCCGCATACCTGACAGAGGAGAGGGGTAGGTGAGTCAATACACACACACACACACTAGAGACAAGTGGAGTGTGTGTGCACACATGCAGAGTAACAGATTGGTGAGTGTTACCTGAGGGTGGTCTTGGTTCCGATCTCTCCCAGGTGACTGAGGGCCTCCTCACTGATGTTGATCCCCTCAGTCTGAGCACGGATTTTAATGATCTACAGTGACCACACAAACGCTGTCAGCATCACACCAGTGACCACACACTTCATATATAAACATACCATCTCTTAAACACACACTTCATATTTTATATATAGGAATGCAATCTCAGACACGATGAGAGGCGCACACACACCTGCTTCATCTCCTGTGGTGTGTAGAGCATGGTGCGGATGATCATGACTCTGTCCAGCAGGTCCAGAGGAATGCCATGGGGAGAGCTGATGTCCTCTGTCCCCCTGAAAAACCAACCACACAGAAGGGTTAGTAAATAGAGCAAAGTTGGCTTCCAAAACAGACTGTCACAGTTACTCACATTCAAACTGAGTTGCAATCACATGCATGCACATTAGCACACACACCCACCCACCTGATGAGGCAGTTGCCCCTGTTGGAAGCAAACACTACGATGGGTGCGATGGTGCTCTCCAGGGCTCGGTGCAAATAGGTGAAACACTCAATGTCCAGCATGTGCACCTCGTCCACAAACAGCACCCCGGGGACCAGCTCAGCCACACCCTGGTCAATGTAACGGTTTACCACCTTGTTGATCTCAGCTCGCAGCTTGTCTAATGGACAGCAGGAAGAGCCAATGAAGAGCCAGGGGTCAGGCAAGGGAGCCAATCAAAAGGCAAGGACAGAACAGAAAGGATGGGTTTCTTTTGAGTGATGTTTATTGGGGGTTGGTTGGGGTTTTGAAAGTACAAGCTGCTATTACTACAAGGATATAAGTACGGTTGTGGGTTTTAAAAAGTTAAGCTTAGTGGTTGAGGTCTTACCTGTGATCTCGGTCTTCTTGGGCTTCATCAGTTGTCCCATCATAGACAGGATATCTTGACCTCCCTGAGAGGAGAGCAACCACACTTTATTCCTTAAGAGTAAGTCGGGGGTGGGGGGGGGGGGTCATACCAACGATCATTTAGATTACTGCAGGGCGCAGACATAGACTCAAGTGTGTTTTTGTTTGTGCACTATTATTTTTAGTGCAATAGTTATTTTCCCATAGTGTATATCTGCAGTGCAGTCTTATTCACTTTAACCAGGGTCTAGGGGAGACTGTGTGTACCTGTGGTCTAGCGTTGGCAATATCCAGGTCGTGTAGCGTGACGTCTTGGATGATCTCTTTCTTCTTGTGGACGTCCCCCTTGGGCAGCGGCACATACTCCTCAGCCTCCAGGTCAAACTCTGTGGCAAATGTGTCACACCGACCTTGTCTCTGCACACACCACACAGACGGAATGGTTAAACACAGAACACAAGCATACTGAACAAAAATATAAACGCAACATGTAAAGTGTTAGTCCCATGTTTCATGAGCTGAAATAAAAAGATCACAGAAATGTTTCATATGCACAAAAAGCTTATTGCTCTCAAATGTTGTCCACAAATTTGTTTATATCCCTGTTAGTGAGCATTTCTCCTTTGCCAAGATAATCCATCCACCAAGATAATGATAAACTCTATGTGAAGGAAATGTGTTGCACTGCATGAGGCAAATGGTTGTAACACCTAGGGCTGTGGTGGTCATGAAATTGTCACAGGTGATTGTCAAGCAAATAACTGCTGGTCTCACGGTAATTCACCGTTAATTAGCATCTCCAGATGCAGATCTTTTGAACATCTACATTTTAAAAAGTCTAATAAATCCATGTAATATAGCCTACACCATCACAATAAATCCATAATTTATTTTAGACAGGTCTAAAGAAACATGATATGAAGAAAATGTAGTCTGTTTCAGAAGAACAGAATAGCATACTCTGAGTTGTCCTTATGTTAGGTCCTGATCTGGCTATGCCATATGGCTGTGGGCTACAGTAGTTCATTTAGCAGACAAGATTTGCTTAGAATTCCATGGCTTTATTTTATAATACGAAGAATACAATTGAACATAGCTTAATAAAATATAAAGGATATTTTCTCCAAACAATTTCAAAGGAAGTGTGCACATGCGGCTATTCTGTGTTGAGCGGTTAACAAAGAAACTGGTCCTCCTATATGCTTAATTTAGAGTTATTTATGCAACTTTTGTTGTGATACAAACGTTGGGCTATATGTTTTGATGTTTAATACATTCTAAGGCTGCATGATGGGACTCTAATGATGATTTGAGAAATGTCGCAAGTTGCACATACTTCATCAGTCTCTCATTCACAATTTGACAAGCACTTGATATTCTCACCAGGCCTCAAATGTCCCGGCGGCATCCACCTTGTGTGACCATAATGCCCCCTAAAAAATCCATGCCTTTTGCGGCCAAAATGGCCATTGTGCCCTTGGGCTGAATATAATAGGCTAATTATAATTCCCTTCTCCTGGCTGCCGTGCTCCAAAGCACCCCTCACTCACATGGCTCTCTCAGATGTAACCAATGCCTGTCACGTGATCGGGTCCTTCTCACAGGCATTTCAGCTAAGTAGGCTTCAAGTGAATAAAGAGTGACACATCAGGGACGCAACTGCACAAGTCCCTCTTATCGAATTCTGAGGCGCATATTGAAAATGTTAGAACTGTCCACATTTAGCCTACTTTTCATCAGCCAACAAGATGAGTAGGCCTAACGAACAGCAAAAGCACTAGCCTATGTCAATCTAGTATCCGCCATAGTACAAAAGTTGACCTATTCTATTGGTCAACTTGTCCTTCTGTGCAAGGAATCAATATTCCAAACATACTCTGGGACAGTTGTGGGATGCGATAGAGCCCAAATTAATACAACCACTTTTTAAAGCAATGAGGCTGATCGTTTAGCTTAAAATGTTGATAAACTATTAGGCCATTTTTTCACATAAGTGCAGCAATGCGCACACGGCAGTAGGCTATAAGCGCGAATGTTCCAAAATCCAATCAATTAGCGGGAAAACACTGTTCTTGAAAGTGACGGCAAATGCGATTATGCATGTAATGCTTTATTATAAAGGTGCATTTTTATAGTGAAAATGTTAACTTTAACTTGAAACTCACACGCAGCCTATGTATGCCAGTTAGGCTCTAAACCGGTCATAAAGCAGATGAATGTGCTTAATTTTAAGAAGTTATTTGGCCACTTTAGTTGTGATACAAACCTTATCAAAACATATAGGCCTATGGGCTTGGCTACATGAGGTGTGCGACTATGATTTGAGAAAGTAGCAACAAAAAAAAAGTATGAGCTGTTTCTTGCCTTAATGCACAAGCTGGGCATCATTCACAAGTGATAGGCTAATATTGTCACCCATCAGACTATTCTTCATTTAATGTTGTCTTTACATATACTAAATAATATATGTGTGATATTAGTTTTGATTTAGAATGGACCATTATCATGCACCAGTCTCAGAACAGGGGCATGGGGAAATAAATACATAAACTTAAATAGCAAATGGAGGACGCTTTTCCCGTGATTAATTTTCATGCCAGCCAGGTAGGCTATGCTCCTGTTTTAAAGCAAAGCGCTTAATATTAGGAAAGTTGATCAATAAATAGTAGGCCTAGCCTATAGAAAGCTGATGGAATCCTCCTCTTTTTAATAGAGGCCATCAAAACTGTTCTCACGCAATGGCATAGCCTATGGAAATGTTGCGCAACATGAGCACTCATGAAGTGTTTGATTAGATTTTCGATTACATTTGCATTGATGGGAGTGTTTAGAGGGACAATAGCAGCATCAGATCTTGGAGAAGCCTAATTACCGTGACTAAACGGTCACGTGGAATTTGACTGCGTTCATGACTCGTGACCACCGGTGTGACGGTAATACGGGACCAGCCCTAGTCACACCAGATACTTACTGGTTTTCTGATCCACGCCCTACTTTTTTGTAAGGTATCTGTATTCCCAGTCATGCGAAATCCATAGATTAGGGCCCAATGAATGTATTTCAATTGACTGATTTCCTTTTATGACCTGAACCTGAAATTGTTGCATGTTGCATTTATATTTTTGTTCAGTGTACTAACCCAATCCCATCAGAGGAGGTCTGGTGGCTGAAACTAGGCCAATCACTTCATAGGGGAATAAAAAGAAGGGAGGAGAGGGAAAGCAGGGGAATGATTGGACTCCATGCCAACTTGAGGAGGGCATGAAAGAGGCGGGGGGATGAAAGAGTAAGAGTCAGGGAGGGTCCTGCAAGGGCTGTCAACAGCAACAAATGTAAGGACCACCCCTCCCCCCGGGCCCACCTGCACCCTTGGCCCACCTGCACCAATTAAAGAAGCCGTCAACACACGTGTCAACACAGGCCACGAGGCCCGTCCGCCAGAACAGAGGGAGCGAAGGAGAGATGGAGAGATAGGGGGAATAAAACCCGGGCCGATGAAGGGCTGGAGGAATGAGAGGGGTCCATTCCAGCGTACAGTATAGAGATGAAACAGAGCCGGCATGGAGGACTGACGGAGATGAAACAGAGCCGGCATGGACTGGGGCAGGAGGGCACAGCAAAGCGCACTGTGTTGTTTTAGTGCATTCTTAGTTTGTGTGCTTGTTTGTAAGTTTTTGTAGTATGTCAATTACTTTGATTTTGAATTGTTTGAGCCACTGTAAATGTGTAATTTGTGTATGGGAGCCTTTTCATAGTGAGTGTTTGTATAGAAGTGTATTAAATAGGTGGAAGTGTATTGATACCTTGACGGCTCCACTGTTTGATTCAATGTAGATGACATCTCCCGCCTCCACACGCTCCTTCTGCAGGCTCTCATAAATACTGGGATCCAGCTACACACAAACACAGAGACACAGACCGTAAGATACAACTGATTGTTTTTACAGAGCGCTTTGTGCCCCCTTCATGAGTAGAATGAAGTTGTCCCTAGACACTGATCTAGGGCCAGTTTTGTGTCCCCCACCCTCCATTTTACATTACATTCCCCTAACTGTTATAGCTGCGATTTCGAGAGGCTAACCTAATCCTAGATCTGTGTCTAAGGCCAACTTCTACATGGCCTGGTCTAGTCTCCGACTCGTGCCTGACCTTGAGCTGCTTGGTGCCCTTGCCTGTCTTCAGTCCAATGATGACGTGGCTGATGGTCTTCCCGTAACCACCCATGGGGTTCTCCGTCTCACAGGGGGTCAGCTCTGTAACCTCCCCCTCATACACCTCCTTGGTCTCCTTAATACGCAACCCTGGAGGAGGGAGGACAGGGTCAGGGTCACACACTGAATGAAGACTCTGTAAAACCTTTATTCTCTTGAATCAATAAAACCACCACATCCTTTGGTCTACCTGGCAGACCATTTATTGGAGAATGTGAGACTGTGTGAGAGTGAGTGTGTGTACAGTGCATGGTCCTCTCTCTGTGTAATGTGATCACACTGTAGCCCTTGTTCCTTCTGCATACAGTCTCTTGGTGTGTGAGTGGCGCACAGGTGGCTGGGCTATAGGAGGGGGGGGGCACACTTCTGCGGGAGAGGCCGTTTTTCAGATTGCTCATCAGGGGGGTGTCGACATGCTCAGAATGTACCCTGCCCTTTCCCTCCATCGTAACGCTTGTGTTCCGTCCTAAGGGAGGGGTGAGGGTGCTGACCACCACCTCTCTCAACCCAAGCTCCATTCCCTTCTCTATGACAGGGAATAATTATTATTATTATTTGGGGGTGGTGCTTATATTTGTCCTGTTACACACAAGTGTGTAATGGAAATGTGGGAGTGGGGTCACGGCCATCAAGTGAAGTGCCTTGCTCAAGGGCACAGCAACATATTTTTCACCTTGTCGGCTTCGGTATTCGAACCAGCGACCTCTCGGTTACCGGCCCAATGCTCTAACCGCGAGGCTACCTACCATAATGTCAACACTTGAACAAACCCCTTCCGAGCCTTTTCCCCAGTGTCAACAGCCACACTGATCCCCTACCCTAGTCAGCCCAGTAGGAGGGGTGTGGAGGAGAACCCCTGGCTCTGGAGTCTATTCTGATGGTGGTGTAGCTGGTGAATGAAGGGTGCAGCTTTATCTGGTCTCCAATTGACCCAGGTGTGTGTGTGTGTAATCCATTCCCAGTGGCCCGTGTTTGTGTGTGGCCCCTCACCTATGGCCCTCCTGAAGTTCTCCATCAGCACCTCTGTTTTCTTTATCTCAGAAGAGTAGACCTCACTACCCACCATGGGGCAGAATGGCACCTTGTTGCCCAGCTCCTGTGCCATAGCCAAAGCCAGGGCCGTCTACAAGGGGGGAGAGAGATTGTGCAAAGTAGGGTTGGTTAAAGTCTCAAGTCTTGTATTCTTTCTATTACTGTGGAGGACAAAGGTATAACCATTAGTCCAAAAGTATGTTCTGCAACAAAAACGAGTTTCTATTGGACAAATTTAGGTAGGTCCCTCCCCGTTTCGTTCGCTTCGGTTGGTTCCTAGTGAATACACCCCTGGAGACACAGTAAGCATATCAGACATTTCACAATTACTTTGGGGTATCATTGAAGTACTGCAGTAACATTTTGTCTACCTTTCCTGTACCGGGAGGTCCAGCCAGTAAAACTGCCCTTCCTGACATCTTCTTTGAGCGGATCAGTTCCACAATAATACCACAAGCCTGTTGACAGAAAAAAAGGTAAAGAACAACATAAAATATTGAAAATAAGAAATAGAATAAAGAACAATGACCTGCAAAGTCACGTGATATCGGAAATACGGTGGCTAAATAACTAAAAGTAGCCAACTTCAAGACTTACGTTTTCACGTAACTAGCTAGTTAGGCTAACTTACCTCTCTTGCGGTCTCCTGCCCCACAAGACCTGACGCATTTTGCTTTGCATTCCCGGCCTCGTCTAGCCCGAGTCCTTTCACATGGCTGTGAGACGCGACACGCTGGGTTTTCGTGGTGCTTTTCACTTCCTCGATTTTCATGGCTGTGTTGTTTATTCAAGTCCTATAAGTAACCAATAATGCCCCCTTACTTGTTATTTATTCAATGTTTTAATCTGTTATAATCGGTGAGTTAACTCCAAACACACACAGAGCCGGTCTGTTTCCACTGGTGCATGTGGGTTACCAAGGAAGTTGAAGGAAGTACAACCGTAAAGGTGTTTTTCTTTTTTGCTCTGGAGGTACACTATTGGACAATTATGCTCTTTTGTTATAAAGCGATTGGATAGAAGCACTGTCACTCTCACTCATAAAAAAAACACCACGCCTCTCTTTGGCTTTTATTTCCGCTTGTGTTTAAGTCACTTTGACGTTACGGAAAATGGTACACACTTTGACATTGGTTCCGGCCAAAGTGCATTCCATCGCTTATCGAAAAATGTGCTTAACAATATTATTTGTGTAGAGCTCTAGACGGATATTTCTTCACATATCACATTGATTTTGTAGCCTATGCTTGCGAGGGGGACTAAAACGTTACTTCAACCGGCATATTTTCCAGAGGACTGTTTTTATTGATACACAATTGACAGAAAAGTTTCGTGTAATTCGACAGCTAACGTTAGTGTTTTGCTAACGTCAACTATATTTCATAACAAATATGAATGAATTATAAGGTTAGGAGTTTAATGAATGACGGTTAGTTTAACGTACAAGTAGTCAATTGTGTTAAGTGTAATTACGGAAAGTAAACTAGAGTTAAAGGTCCAGCCAGCCACGCTAGGTGCTGAGACTGGTTGCGACAGGAGCAGATAGCTAGTTAGTCAAAGCTACCAGTCATGGCAGACTCGAGCAACAACCACCCGAAGACCCTAAATTTTAACGTGGGGGTACTTGGGCATGTCGACAGCGGGAAGACGTCGCTTGCCAGGGCTCTCAGCAGCACAGCGTCCACGGCTGCCTTTGACAAGAACCCGCAGTCCCGAGAGAGAGGCATCACCCTGGATCTAGGCTTCTCCTCCTTCACCGTGGACCTCCCCGAGCAGCTGCGGGCGGTGTCCGGGGGCCGCGGCTACGACAACCTGCAGTTCACGCTGGTGGACTGTCCTGGACACGCGTCCCTCATTCGCACCATCATTGGGGGTAAGAGAAGCGAATGAGGATAATCTCGTGTTACTGTTTTAACTGCAAAAATAAATCGATGCCCTAACAACAGTGGCAGGACAGCAAATTCTCAGGTGTTGACACTTGTTTAACAGTGGAGATCCCATCACTCACACAATGGCGGCAAGATTTACACCACTCCAGCCGACGCTTGGCATTGCGCATGGTGATTTAAGGCTTGTGTGGCTGGTCGGCCATGGAAACCATTTCACGAAGCTCCCGACGAACAGTTATTGTGCTGACGTTACTTCAAGAGTCAGTTTGGATCTCGGTAGTGAGTGTTCAACCGAGGACAGACAATTTTTACGTGATTCAGTACTCGGTGGTCCTCTTCTGTGAGCTTGTGTTTTTTAAATAATTTTTTTATTTAAGCAGGTAAACCAGTTGAGAACAAGTTCTCATTTACAACTGCGACCTGGCCAAGATAAAGCAAAGCAGTGTGATAAAAACAACAACACAGAGTTACATATTGGGTAAACAAAACATAAAGTAAAAAATACAACAGAAAATATATATACAGTATGTGCAAATGTAGCAAGTTATGGAGGTAAGGCAATAAATAGGCCATAGTGCAAAATAATTACAATTTAGTATTTACACTGGAATGATAGATGTGCAAGAGATGATGTGCAAATAGAGATACTGGGTTGCAAATGAGCAAAATAAATAACAATATGGGGATGAGGTAGTTGGGTGGGCTAATTTCAGATGGGCTGTGCACAGGTGCAGTGATCGGTAAGGTGCTCTGACAACTGATGCTTAAAGTTAGTGAGGGAGATAAGTCTCCAGCTTCAGAGATTTTTGCAGTTCGTTCCAGTCATTGGCAGCAGAGAACTGGAAGGAATGGCGGCCAAAGGAGGTGTTGGCTTTGGGGATGACCAGTGAGATATACCTGCTGGAGCGCATACTACGGGTGGGTGTTGCTATGGGGACCAATGAGCTAAGATAAGGCGGGGATTTGCCTAGCAGTGATTTATAGATGACCTGGAGCCAGTGGGTTTGGCGACGAATATGTAGTGAGGACCAGCCAACAAGAGCATACAGGTCACAGTGGTGGGTAGTATATGGGGCTTTGGTGACCAAACGGATGGCACTGTGATAGACTACATTCAATTTGCTGAGTAGAGTGTTGGAGGCTATTTTGTAAATGACATCGCCGAAGTCAAGGATCGTTAGGATAGTCAGTTTTACGAGGGCATGTTTGGCAGCATGAGTGAAGGAGGCTTTGTTGTGAAATAGGAAGCCGATTCTAGATTTAACTTTGGATTGGAGATGCTTAATGTGAGTCTGGAAGGAGAGTTTACAGTCTAACCAGACACCTAGGTATTTGTAGTTGTCCACATACTCTAGGTCAGACCCGCCGAGAGTAGTGATTCTAGTCGGGTGCCAGCAGCGTTCGATTGAAGAGCATGCATTTAGTTTTACTAGTGTTTAAGAGCAGTTGGAGGCTACGGAAGGAGTGTTGTATGGCATTGAAACTCGTTTGGAGGTTTGTTAACACAGTGTCCAATGAAGGGCCAGATGTATACAAAATGGTGTCGTCTGCGTAGAGGTGGATCTGAGAGTCACCAGCAGCAAGAGCGACATCATTGATATACACAGAGAAAAGAGTTGGCCCGAGAATTGAACCCTGTGGCACCCCCATAGACTGCTATAGGTCCAGACAACAGGCCCTCCGATTTGACACATTGAACTCTATCTGAGAAGTAGTTGGTGAACCAGGCGAGGCAGTCATTTGAGAAACCAAGGCTATTTAATCTTCCAATAAGAATGTGGTGGTTGACAGTCGAAAGCCTTGGCCAGGTCGATGAAGACGGCTGCACAGTACTGTCTATTATCGATCGCAGTTATAATATCGTTTAGGACCTTGAGCTTGGCTGAGGTGCACCCATGACCAGCTCGGAAACCGGATTGCATAGCGGAGAAGGTACGGTGGGATTTGAAATGGTCGGTGATCTGTTTGTTAACTTGGCTTTTAAATACTTTCGAAAGGCAGGGCAGGGGCAAGTTGCAGCGGAGGGTGCAGAGCTGGTGGCCGGGGTAGTGGTAGCCAGGTGGAAAGCATGGCCAGCCGTAGCAAAATGCTTGTTGAAATTCTCGATTATTGTAGGTTTATCGGTGGTGATAGTGGTTCCTAGCCTCAGTGCAGTGGCAGCTGGGAGGAGGTGCTCTTATTCTCCATGTACTTTACAGTGTCCCAAAACTTTTTGGAGTTAGTGCTACAGGATGCACATTTCTGTTTGAAAAAGCTAGCCTTTGCTTTCCTAACTGCTTGTGTATATTGGTTCCTAACTTCCCTGAAAAGTTGCATATCGTGGGGGCTATTCGATGCTAATGCAGTATGCCACTGGATGTTTTTGTGCTGGTCAAGAAAGTCAAGTCTGAGGAGAACCAGGGGCTATATCTGTTCTTAGTTCTGAATTTTTTGAATGGGGCATGCTTATTTAAGATTGAGAGGAAAGCACTTTTAAAGAACAACCAGGCATCCTCTACTGACAGAATGAGATCGATATCCATCCGGGATACCTGGGCCAGGTCAATTAGGAAGGCTTGCTCGCTAAAGTGTTTTAGGGAGCGTTTGACAGTGATGAGGGGTGGTCGTTTGACCGCGGACCTGTTACGGACGCAGGCAATAAGGCAGTGATCGCTCAGATCCTGGTTGAAGACAACGGAGGTGTATTTAGAAGGTCAGGATGATATCTATGAGGGTGCCCATGTTTACAGATTTAGGGTTGTACCTGGTAGGTTCCTTGATAATTTGTGAGGTTTAGGGCATCTAGTTTGGACTGTAGGATGGCCGTGGTGTTAAGCATTTCCCAGTTTAGGTCACCAAGCAGTACGAACTCTGAGGATAGATGGGGGGCAATCAATTCACATATGGTGTCCAGGGCACAGCTAGGGGCTGAGGGGTGTCTGTAGCAAGTGGCAACAGTGAGAGACTTATTTCTGGAAAGGTGGATTTTTAGAAGTAGGAGCTCAAACTGTTTGGGCACAGACCTGGATAGTATGATAGAGCTCTGCAGGCTATCTCTACAGTAGATTGCAACTCCACCCCCTTTGGCAGTTCTATCTAGGCGGAAAATGTTGTAGTTGGGGATGGACATTTCTGAATTTTTGGTGGCCTTCCTAAGCCAGGATTCAGACACTGCTAGAACATCAGGGTTGGCGGAGTGTGCTAACGCAGTGAATAACTCAAACTTAGGGAGGAGGCTTCTGATGTTAACGTGCAAGAAGCCAAGGCTTTTACGGTTACAGAAGTCAACAAATGATAGCGCCTGGGGAGTAGGAGTGATACTGGGGGCTGCAGGGGTTAACCTCTACATCACCAGAGGAACAGAGGAGGACTAGAATAAGGATATGGCTAAAGGCTTTAAGAACTGGTCTTCTAGTGCGTTGGGTACAGAGAATTAAAGGGGCAGATTTCCGGGCGTTGTAGAATAGATTCAGTGCATTATGTACAGACAAGGATATGGAAGGATATGAGTACAGTGGAGGTAAACCTAAGCATTGGGTAACAATGAAAGAGATGGCATCACTGGAGGCACCGATTGAGCCGGTCTCCGCGTGTATGGGGGGTGGAACGAAGGAGCTATTTGAGGCAGTTTGAGAGGGACTTGGGGCTCTACAGTGAAATGGTATAATAAGAGCCAACTGGAACAGCAATAGGCAAGGCATATTGACATGGGAGAGAGGCATAAAGCAATCACAGGTGTTATTCAAGAGAGCTAAGACAACAACTGGCGATGAAAGTTTGGGCTGAGGCTAAACAGATAAACAGGACAGGGTACTGTGTAAAAGGAACAGTCCAGCAGGCATCAGCTGTGCAGCTGAGTGATCATAAGGTCCAGTGAACAGCAATATGTGAGTCCGAGAGCAGTTCAAATTGGTGCTACAGCACAGGCGAGCAGGAAGCACGGCTGTTGAATTGCGTGTGCTAGCGGGCCGGGGCTAGCAGATGGATCTTCGTGGTCGTCGCAACGGGAAGCCTGTTGAAACCACAGACGATTACGTTGGCAGACCAGTCGTGATGGATCGGCGGGGCTCCGTGTCAACACTAGGAAGTCCCGTCCGGTTGACAGAGAGGTAGATAGCCGGGAGATGGGCCTGACTCGAGGCTAGCTCAAGGCTGATTAGCCAACAACCACATCCATTCGGTTGCAGCTAGCTAGTTGCGATGATCCGGTGTTAAAGGTCCAGTGATTCAGTGATTCCGGCAGAAAATCCGGTATGTTCTGGGTCAATAACGCGCTGTGCAGACAGTGCAGACTGGCCGATAATAGTCCAGGCTAGAGCTGGCTGGTAGGTAGTGCAGGCCACGGACAATGGTGAAAAACCACTAACGGTGGCTAATAGCAAGTAGCTAGTTAGCTGGCTACTCCCGTCCAGTAGACCGAGAGGTAGATAGCCGGGATATGTGCCTGGCTTGAGGCTAGCTCAAGGCTAACTGGTGCTTGCTTCGGGGGCAGTGGTGATTTAGCCAACAGCATCATCCATTCGGTTGCGGCTAGCTAGTTGCGATCCGGTGTTAAGGTCCAAAGATTCAGTTATTCCGGCAGAAAATCTGATGTTCTGGGTGAAACCGCTAACGGTGGCTAATAGCAAGTAGCTAGTTAGCTGGCTAGCTAGTTTCAACTGGAGATTCTGGATAAAAGGTAAGTAAATAATAGAATCCGTTCCATATTGAGTGAGGCGGTTTGCAGGAAAGTATATTTAGTAGAAGGATGAAAAGTGTCTGATATATATATATATATATATACGAAAAAAACAAAAAACAGGCTATTTACACGGACACACTACAGAGTACACGACCGCACTGCTACCCCATCTTGGCCTACCACTGAGCCGTTGTTGCTCCTAGATGTTTCCACTTAACAGTAACAATTCTTACAATTGACAGGGGCAGCTCTAGCAGGGCAGAAGTTTAACGCAATGACTTGTTGGAAAAGTGGCATCCTATGGCGGTGCCACGTTGAAAGTCACTGAGCTCTTCAGTAAGGCTATTCTACTGCCAATGTTTGTCTATGGAGATTGCATGGCAGTGTGCTCGATTTTATACACCTGTCAGCAACGGGTGTGGCTGAAATAGTCGAATCCACTAATTTGAAGGGGTGTCCACATACTTTTATTTATATATAAACATGAAGAATAAATACACAATTAGTAGCGATAACTTGGCTATATACACAGGGTACTGAGTCGATATGCAGGGGTACGAGGTAATTGAGGTAGATGCAGTGCATTCGGAAAGTATTCAGACCCCTTGACTTTTTCCACATTTTGTTACGTTACAGCCTTATTCTAAAATGGATTAAATTGTTTTTTCCCCCGCGTCAATCTACACACAATAACCCATAATCACAAAGCGAAAACAGGTTTTTCGATTTTTTTGCAAATGTATTAAAAATAAAAAAACAGCAATACCGTATTTCAATATGCATTCAGACCCTTTGCTATGAGACTAAAAATTGAGCTCAGGTGCATCCTGTTTCCATTGATCATCCTTGAGATGTTTCTACAACTTGATTGGAGTTCACCTGTGGTAAATTCAATTGATTGGACATTATTTGGAAAGGCACACACCTGTCTATGTAAGGTCTCACAGTTGACAGTGCATGTCAGAGCAAAAAGCAAGCCATGAGGTCGAAGGAATTGTCCGTAGAGCTCCGAGACAGGATTGTGTCTAGCCACAGATCTGCGGAAGGGTACCAAAAATATGCAGCATTGAAGGTCCCCAAGAACACAGTGGCCTCCATCATTCTTAAATGGAAGAAGTTTGGAACCACCAAGACTCTTCCTAGAGCTGGCCGCCCGGCCAAACTGAGCAATCGGTGGAGAAGGGCCTTGGTCAGGGAGGTGACCAAGAACCTGATGGTCACTCTGACTGAGCTCCAGAGTTCCTCTGTGGAGATGGGAGAACCTTCCAGAAGGACAACCATCTCTGCAGCACTCCACCAATCAGGCCTTTATGGTAGAGTTGCCAGACGGAGGCCTCTCCTCAGGAAAAGGCACATGACAGCCCGCTTGGAGTTTGCCTAAAGGCACCTAAAGGACTCTCAGACCATGAGAAACAAGATCCTCTGGTCTGATGAAACCAAGATTGAACTCTTTGGCCTGAATGCCAAGCATCACGTCTGGAGGAAACCTGGCACCATCCCTACGGTGAACCATGGTGGTGGCAGCATCATGCTGTGGGGATGTTTTTCAGTTGCAGGGACTGGCAGATTAGTCGGGTTTGAGGGAAAGATTAACAGAGCAAAGGACAGGGAAACCTTGATGAAAACCTGCTCCAGGCCTCTGCATGGGGCAAAGGTTCACCTTCCAACAGGACAACGACCCTTAGTACACAGCCAAGACAATGCAGGAGTGGCTTCGGGACAAGTCTCTGAATGTCCTTGAGTGGCCCATCCAGAGTCCGGACTTGAACTCGATCGATCATCTCTGGAGAGACCTGAAAATAGCTGTGCAGCGACGCTCCCCATCCATCCTGACAGAGCTTGAGAGAATCTGCAGAGAAGAATGGGAGAAACTCGCCAAATACAGGTGTGCCAAGCTTGTAGCGTCATACCCAAGATGACTCGAGGCTGTAATCGCTGCCAAAGGTGCTTCAACAAAGTACTGAGTAAAGGGTCTGAATACTTATTTAAATGTGTTATTTCCGTTTCTTTATTTGTAATACATTTTTTAAAAAAATATGTGTGGGGGGGAAACTATTTAATCCATTTTAGAATAATGCTGTAACGTAACAATATGGAAAAAGTCAAGGGGTCTGAATACTTACCTTATGTACATATAGGTAGAGGTAAAGTGACTAGGCAATAGGATAGGTAATAAACAGTAGCGTATGTGAAGAGTCAAAATAATTAGTGCAAAGAGGGTCAATGCAGATAGTCCGGGTAGCTATTTGGTTAATTATTGAGTAATCTTATGGCTTGGGGGTAGAAGCTGTTCAGGGTCCTGTTGGTTCCGGTCTTGGTGCATCAGTACCACTTGCCGTGCAGTAGCAGAGAGAACAGTCTGTGACTTGGGTGGATGGAATCTTTGAGAATTTGTAGGACCTTCCTCTGACACTGCCTGTTATAGAGGTCCTGGATGACAGGGAGCTCAGCCCTAGTGATGTACTGGGTCGTACGCACTACCCTCTGTAGCGCCTTGCGGTCAAATGTCAAGATATTGCCCGTTGCGAAGTCCAGCATCCAGTTGCAGAGGGAAGTGTTCAGTCCCAGTGTCCTGAGCTTAGTGATGAACTTGGAGGGCACTATGATGTTGGACAGCTGGGTTTCTTTTTGTCATCCGTGATAGTTTGCAAGCCCTGACACATCAGACGAGTGTCAGAGCTGGTGTAGTATGATTCGATCTTAGTCCTGTATTGACGCTTTGCCTTTTTTATGGATTCCTTATATGCGTCCGGATTAGTTTCCTTCATTGCGGATGTTGCCTGTAATCCATGGCTCTTGGTTGGGAAATGAAACGGGCCAGTCAGCTGTCTGATGGCTGCTGGTACTCTAGCCCTGAGTTTGACAGCCATGTACAGGAATGGCAAGTGGCAACATACAATGACTTTATCAGATAAGGACAACATGTTCATGGATAATTGATTGAGGGTGGTAACTTCCTATACTGTAGAGCTTACTACACTGTCTGTGAACTCATGAAAGTGCTGTCAGAGTTCAACTCTAGATCCAGCCAGCAGAGGGCGACTGAGGACTGCAGAATAAAGACTACACAACCACCCATACAAATATAATGTATTTCTTGAATCAACCATGCAAAGCAGCCATTACAAGGTTAACGCACACTGACTGACTGGCCCCTCCACTAGCCTGTGGCTTTGCAAGGAGGAGAGCGAGGAGGAATGGATTCAACATTCCAGGAGGACAAGAGACTTCCTTATCCTTACGGCTCAGTTGAACCCTGCTTACTCATTCCCCCTCTCTTCGTTCTTGCTGCTATTCCCCTTCTCTCTCTCTTCTCACTCCTAATGAGTGTTTGTAGGGTTGACAATATGTATCCTGTAAGAGGAGGACAGGCCTGAGAGGTGAGGGTGAGAAGAGAACAGGGGGAGTCACAGTAGAAGGAAAGCAGGATAAGGCGAATACACACACACACACACACACACACAGGAGTGCAGCCTGTGTCAGTGTATATGGCTGGTAGTTTGCTATATAAAGCCAGTGTGTCCCTGTGGATGGCACATGCTGTGGATTAGGGCGGAAGGAAGGTGTGGGGAACGGGGTATGTAATAAGCTTCCCCTCCTGTCCCCAATGGGGAGAGCACAGGAAAGAAAGAGAGCCAAAGAGAGGCAGAGAAAAGAGGGGAGCACAGGAAAGAAAGACTGCCAAAGTGAGGGAAAGAAAAGAGGGAGGAAAGACAACCAAGCGAGCTGAGGCTCTAATTTCAGCCCTCTAGCCCTTCTCCCTTCTTTACATCCCTTTGTACCCTCCCTCCTCTTTCCCGCTCTTCTTGTTCTGTTGTTATTCTTGGTTGTCTGTTTCTGTTCCTGTTGCTCAACTTATGACTTTGGTCATATGGCCCTCCAAGAGTCCTGTGTAGATCAGCTGTAACCATGCAGTGCTGAGTGTGTGCAATCATTTCACTGCAGTAGTTTTGGACTGGGGTGTTTATTATTGACAAGTCTATAGCATACATCTAATTGTGCGTGTGTGTGTGTTCCAGGGGCTCAGATCATAGACCTGATGATGCTGGTGGTAGACGTGGTGAAGGGGATCCAGACCCAGACAGCAGAGTGTCTGCTGATAGGAGAGCTGACCTGCCCCCGCATGGTGGTCATTCTCAACAAGACTGACCTGCTGCCGCCCAACAAGAGACAGACCGCCATCGACAAGATGACCAAGAGACTGCACAAGACCCTGGAGAACACCAGGTAACACACACACACACACACACACACACACACACACACACACACACACATAGTCATTCTAACCCTCGTTTCATCCCCTGTTGGCCAGATTTAAAGACTGTCCTGTGATTGCCGTGGCAGCGAAGCCTGTTGGTCCTGAAACAGAGGAGCCCCAGGGAGTGCCTGACCTAATAGAGGTAAAGACCCTGAACACACTGGTGACCAAGGATGTGCCTGCACTGTTAGCGGTTTTGGTTAATATTCTGACTAGACAGGACAAACCCATTTTCACGATTTCTGGTATATCATCAAAATAAATTAATCACAGCACGTTTTTGGACTCATTCAGCAGTTTGTACCTGGTTAATTAGAATACTATTGGAAATTAATGTTGAAAGCAAACATTTTTATTCCTAAAACATACATTGAAAATTATGCTGTAGCTGATTCCTGTTGACAATAACTTTTGATAAATAGCCAAATGTCAACACCGTTTTGAAGTGTCCAAATCAATAATCAATAGATGCAAAAACAGTTTGTCATATATTGAAAACCTAAACATAAAATGTACTACCTACACATACATGTACCACAATAATAATCATATTACTTGTATTTTCTATCAACGAGAACCTTATAAACTGCATATGCACCAAAAACCCTTTTGGTTTGACAAGTGGCAATAAATCACTCATATTGATTAGGGGGGAAATCAGGAATATGCGCAACAAAAAACACACAGGAACTGGAAATATTGTTTACATCACTGGTTAGAGGACAACCTGATGAAGACAGCCAGATACATTTTGGAGTGATGCATTTTGATTTGGGGTTCGCCAAAATGGAAAGAGAAACGCAACACTTATTTGCCAATCACTCATAATCAATATCACGTTGAAATCAATAGAACGAGAGGGGGTAGTCAGGTTGCACGTCCTGATTGAACACTACTGAAAAAACACATAATCTGGTATGCTGTATCACTGGTTATAGGACAACTTGTAGAAAACATCCAGTTACATTTTTTATTTTGTTAAAGGGATACTTCGGGATTTTGTCAATGAGGTCCTTTGTCTACTTCCCCGGAGTCAGATGAACTTGTGGATAGCATGCTAGTAGATACCCATAGATTTCCAGTCATTGCGCTAACGCTAGTTAGCATTGGCTCACGAAACTACCTCTTAACTTCCTTCATACTGGACACAGAGACATAAAAATGGTATCCACAAGTTCATCTGACTCTGGGGAAATAGATGAATTGTCAACAACCCGAAGTATCCCTTTAATCACTCATATCTGTACCAAATTGAAATCAATAGAGCGAGGCAACGTTTGGGTTGTAGGTGCTGTTTGAACTAACACTATTCAAAGGCCACACTGAGTATGAGAATATTTTTTATTTCACTAGTTATAAGAGAATTTGCTACAGACAGTGGTCTACATTTTGGAATGTCGGATGGAGATTCTGGGAGGCTGCCGACACGGGGAAGAAACAAATCAGTTACTTTGTTATTTAACTTAAATGAATAACGACCCGGCATATGATATCAACGCTGACAAAGTTTGGCTGTTATTTAAGTGATCTTGTGTAATCGTAAAACGTGAGCTTGTGTAATCTAGTAACACATACTGTCCACATCATGGAAAGTAGCGTAATGTAAATTAATTAAATGTGGCTAAAAAATGCTATATCTTAATTTAGCATTATTGTTAATGAAGCAAACTCACAGATTTTTACAATAATCACCATATATTTCTCACTAGTTTAACCATTTAGAGAGTTAAATGCTCTCCAACACATTATTACCAGGCGCTCTAGACTAGAGCTTCCATAGTGTCTGTGCAGCAGCCTGAACGTTCCACGTTGCTATTCTGACTGGTGTGGAGATACTTTCAATGATACATACAGTATCCTTAATTGAAATGATACTGTAAAAGGTAGATATCCTAGAACAAAGAGGTATATGACAGACACTGTCATAGGTCAGGGAGTTCTGCCCTATGATTAAAACACGAGACACTGTCAGGAAGTGTTTATGAAACCACAGGATACACAGACTCAACACTAAGATATGGTTCTGAATAGGACTGGCCCTCTGCTCTGTGTGTGACTAGCCTGAATCATACTCATGCCTACGATGACCGTACAATGTTATGACAGCAGTTTTGACTTTGCTCCGTATGTGTGTCTCCCCTAGCTGTTGAAGATCCAGACGTACCTCCCTCACAGAGACCCGGGGGGAGCCCTGCTGATGGCCGTGGACCACTGCTTCTCCATCCGCGGTCAGGGCACGGTCATGACCGGAACTATTCTACAGGGGGCGCTAGCTGTCAACGACACTGTGGAGATCCCATCGCTCAAGGTACGGTCACTGACCACAGAACATTGATTTGCATGACCACTGAAAGTCTTGATCAGTGGTTCTCAATCTGCTAAGTCTATTGACCAGCAACAATTATTTGTGATATTGCTGATTATTATAGCGCGTTAGTCAATTTAATTAGTTCTATTTTTAGTTAAAGTGGTTTTAGTTCATACTATTGTTTGTCACTTTATAGGACCACATTAACTAAAATTAGAACCATGGCATGCTCATAGTCCCTGCTTCCAGAAAGGTGGAGAATCGTTGATGCAGTAGAAGAACCCTGATTCAGATGACCTGGACAGCACAAGGCTAGAGTAGAAGCTACGGAGTTCATAAGTTGACTGGAGGAGGAGGGAAGGAAAGAGGGATGGTAGTGTGGGGGTGGAGGATGTGTCTGTGTGTTTTTGGAGGGAGCAGGATGGGGAGACTGGGGAGGAGGGGTGGGGATTGACAGTACAGGAGCTGACTAATTTAGACCAGATGCAGTCACTCACACTTGTTTGTAGGCCAGCCTAGTCTAAACACCAGCTTATTGTATTGAACCTTACTATCAACTGGTGTCATTATAACATCCTCCATCAGGTGGCAGCAAAAGCCTGGAAAAACCAGCAGGCTTGTCTCAGCATTCAGTGTCAGAGAAGAATGGTGGTTAGGCCACACCGACCATACTCACCCACTCTCCCTCACACAACAACACAACAAACAATAAGAGTAGGTTAGTTTGATTGTCTCTCTGTGTTTGTCCTTTAACCCCTAGGTGACCAAGAAAGTGAAGTCAATTCAGATGTTCCGGCTGCCGGTGTCTGGGGCCATGCAGGGTGACCGCGTGGGCGTGTGTGTGACCCAGTTTGACCCCAAATTACTAGAACGGGGGGTGGTGTGTACCCCTGGATCCCTACACACCCTCCACGCAGCCCTCATCTCCGTCAGAAAGATTGGCTACTTCAAGGGTTCCCTGGCCACCCGAGCCAAGTTCCACATCACCGTGGGCCATGAGACTGTCATGGCCAGGGTCACGTTCTTCGGTCTGCCCCCTGGAGGAAGCCCCCAGACCCCCACCACGGACCCCCAACCACCTCCCTCCGACCCCCACTCCCCTCAGCCAGACCCCAGCCCCCTGAGCAAACCTTTTTCCTTTGACCGGGAGTACTTCCACCAGGACGAGTATGTGATTGGCCAGCGGGCGGCCGGAGGGGCTGGGTCAGACCCGGAGCAGTGGGCGCTGCTGGAGTTTGAGCGACCGGTCACATGTCCCTCTCTCTGCCTGGTGATTGGCTCCAAGCTGGACACAGACATCCACGCCAACGCGTGCCGGCTGGCGTTCCAGGGTCGTCTGCTGGAGGGCTTTGAGGAGAAGAACTACTCTGAGACTACACTACCCAGACTACACATCTACAAGACCAAACACAAGGAGGGACAGGTGGAGAGGGTGAGTGGACGCCCTGCTCGCCTCTCTCTGACTCCCCTAATAGTCTGTACACCCTCCCCTCCCATCACCCTTCATGGATCTCTGTCCTTGCTCCTTTGCCCTCTCTCTCACCCCTCTTCTCCCTCTCTCTCTCTGGTCCTTGTTTGGATTTTTCATTGCTGGTGGTGCTGGAGCGTGTTGCAGGGACTGAGCTCCCATTGTGCACACACACAGAGTCCCTGGGGCGGTGCGGGAGGGAGGCGTGGAGAGGTATGCGGGGCCTTGGCCTGTGCTGGGATGTGACACAGGCGTGTGGCCCTCTGATGCCAGTGGCAGCAGCCAGACAGACTGGTGCTGTTTGGACACACCTGAGTGGCACAGGAATATACCCATATGACTCTGCATTCTCCCAGACCCACACTCTAGCCTCTGCTCTCTCTCTCTTCTCTCTGCTCTCTCTCTTTCTCTGCTCTCTTCGCTCTCTCTGCTCTCTGCTCTCTTCGCTCTCTCTCTTTCTCTGCTCTCTCTGCTCTCTCTTTCTCTGCTCTCTGCTCTCTTTGCGCTCTCTCTGCTCTCTCTGCGCTCTCTCTTTCTCTGCTCTTCGCTCTCTCTGCTCTCTGCTCTCTCTGCTCTCTCTGCTCTTTTTTTTCTTCTTTCTCTCTCTTTGTGTCCTCGAGCCGTAATGTTTTTTTGTCTCTGACCTTTACCCTCTTTCTCCCTGGCTCCATCTCACTCTTGTAATATCTTTTTGTCATTTAATTCTGTTGTTCCTCAGTTTGTCTTCCCCCTTTTGGCTCATAAGAGTCTTATCTGCCTCTTGTTGCTCCTGTCTTTCTGTGTCTGTCTCTGTCTGTTTGAGTGTTGTCTGCCACCCAGCAGCAGCCAGCAGTGTGTCTGTGTGTACACACCCTCTGTCAGGGTCGCTAACAGGTCAGAGGTCAAGTGTGTGGACAAGTTTTACTGCTGTTAGCACCTCAGGCTGTCGACAGCCAGCCCCACAGTTACACAGCAGTCCTTGACCCTGAGGTTGACCCTCTCAGACTCCGTTCATGGGGGTGTGTGTGGGTTCCCTCACATAATGAGGAAGTCCTGTTTGTTTTTTTGTCTTCTAAGAGGACACATACCTGAGATGTTTGAATGTTTGAGATATGACTGTGTCTTTAAGTCATGCCTTTGTCCCAGTGTGTCTGACATGTGTACCAACTGTAGCTTATCAGTGGTCACGCTTCAGTCAGAACCCAACGTCAGAGAGAGAAAGGGAGCGAAGGAGGGAGGGTTAAGGAAAGAGAGCGGGAAGGAAGGGACAGAGGGGGAGAAGTAGAGAGACAGAGCGGTGCCCTCTCTTTATCGGATCAGTGACGGTTGAGAGAGTCTCAGTGATGGAGAGAAAATACAAACAACAAACAGAAGAAAAATGTGTAGAGGAATGAAAGAGGAGATACAGACAGACAGACGGGCGGCAGGCCTAGGGGAATGTGGCTCGTTGGATTGGGACGGGGTACAGAACAGTGTCGTGGTGGGGTCAGCCACCCCTCCACCCCCCACTATGGCGACAGAGTGGCAGCATGGTAACACAAGGTCATGCACCAGTGTGTGTTAAATCAGAGAGAGGAACATAAAAATCACCCACTGACCTCTCTGTTTATACTGTCAGCCTCAAGAAATCATTAAAGGATATGCTGGATAATTTTAGGATATTTTCCACTTGTGTTATTTGCTTTCATCATTAACTGGAAGCTGTTCATTTAATAATACTATTATTTAGGTTTATTACATATTAATTATATTTTCAATTTTCTTAAATTATTTCCTTGTATCTGTCATTGGTGCCCCTCATGTCTCCTTCTTCCTCTTCTCTGGTCAGGTGACAGATGACTACACTGTGATTGGGAGAAACCTGTTCAAGAAGGAGACCAACCTGCAGCTGTTTGTGGGGTTAAAGGTCACGCTGTCCACCGGCGAGACTGGGATCATTGAGGGCGGCTTCGGACAGAGCGGCAAGTTTAAGATCCGGGTGCCAGGTAAGTAGTGGTGGGGCTGGAGGTAAAGGTAGACGTGCTGTATGAATCTGTTAAGGAAGAAACGGACTGCGCCGACAATCGGTTAAAAGCAGCGGACCCATGGGTGTCCTATCACATCTTACCATCAGATATTGCAGCGGATGGGCGTCCTATCACATCTGACAATCAGATACCATCAGACCATCCGATACCACCCATCATTTTCTATAAATTTCCTGGCGATTCTACATGTTGAATTGCCACTGTTCGTTGACACCCAGCAGGTGATCTACTGTCCACGGCCGACGTTCATTATGGTGTTTCTCCTTTTTATACTCTATTAACAGTCAAGATAAGGACTGTATCGTTTGGATTTCTTACCTCATTTGTTGCCAAAGCATATTCCATTTGTTTATTAGTCAGAATTATGCAATTATATTTATAGTACAACCGAAGTATGAAAGGGGCCTTCTCTTTTTTTCCTGCATCTCTCACTCTGGTCTCAGTGCATTCGTTATTATGATGTGGTTAGAGTGGTGGGCTGGGAATCCCACTCCAGCATTCCCAGGATTCCTCTGGGGGTAGCTCTGTGTCCGAGGGAAGTCTGCTCCCTGTTTATTTTACCTTGTCGCTCCGCTCCCCTCCGACCCAAAGCTAGGCTCCACACCGGGCCGGGCAGGAAGAGAAAACAAAAACATTTAGAAAGAGAACCCTACCTATATCCTCTCAACTCACTCACATTCACATACACATACACACTCCCACACACATGCTCTTACATACACACTCCCACACACATGCTCTTACATACACACTCCCACACACATGCTCTTACATACACACTCCCACACACATGCTCTTACATACACACTCCCACACACATGCTCTTACATACACACTCCCACACACATGCTCTTACATACACACTCCCACACACATGCTCTTACATACACACTCCCACACACATGCTCTTACATACACACTCCCACACACATGCTCTTACATACACACTCCCACACACATGCTCTTACATACACACTCCCACACACATGCTCTTACATACACACTCCCACACACATGCTCTTACATACACACTCCCACACACATGCTCTTACATACACACTCCCACACACATGCTCTTACATACACACTCCCACACACATGCTCTTACATACACACTCCCACACACATGCTCTTACATACACACTCCCACACACATGCTCTTACATACACACTGACATACTTGGCTAGTCACTTGGGACATTCAGTATGCTCATTGCTCATACACACTCATAGTATGACGCTGCTGTGTGTTCCTCTGACCTCTAGCTACCCCAGGTGTGTTTGTGTTGTGTGTGTGCTCCCTTTCCCTTGTTGTTCTTTTCTTCTCCCCTCACACCCCTTCATGGCACATGATTAAAGACCGAGAAAGCCACAGAGAGAGGGAGAAATGGAAAGAGGAGGGCTAGTTAGATTTGAAGGCCCTCCAGACCTCTCCACAACCTCCCCCTTCTCACACAGACAGCACTGTCCAATCCCCCCTGCTATCCGCCCTCCCCTGGCCCTGACCCCAAACTCATCCCCTGCAAGCCCCTAAAGGCCACCAGCCTGGCACCAGACAGTTATTCTGTCTCTCCAGAGAGAGATGGAGGGAAAGATTGAGGGAAAGGAGCAGAGAAAGAGAGGGGAATACTGTGGTTTGTGTATGAGGTGTGTACGTGATGTCAGCCTGGATAGAACACATGTTTTCATTATGTGGTTTATATCAATAAAACAACTTGTTCTAAATGTGTGAAGGTGGCTTTAGGAGGATAATTCACTGTGTGTGTTTGTAAATTAGTTGTATTCTACTCAAACGTTGAACTGTGTTTGACCGTTTTTATTAGACACTGTATCACACGGATTCATTCTAGTTTGTATTTACTGCTATTTATCTAAGTGTGTGTGTGTGTGTGTGTGTGTGTGTGTGTGAGAGAGAGAGAGAGAGACAGCAAGAAGTGGGCTAAGGCCAAGCGAATAGATCGGAGATATCCATCCTCGTAATCCTAACAACCCTCATGCTGGCATAACCATAACAATCTCCTCGGTGGCGCCGTGTGACGCGGGTAGGCGAGGTCAGCCGGTGCAGAGGTTTGCTCAGGGAACATTTCTCAGTTCCACGTGAGCGGAACAACAAACACACACACAGGAAAAGATGCCCCATAGGAATCCACGGCACGTCCCCAACCGCCTGAGAACTGTCAGACACCTGTGTAAATGTCAGCCAGAACAGGACCGCCACAGAGAACCATGACAGAGACATGGTTCTTCTACGACCGTGAAATGGGAACCGTGAGACAAGACCATGTAATAAGTTAAGGAGACAATGACTGTGGTGGGACAATGTTGCATGTGTGATGGAATGGTCAATCTGGACTGGAAATGTCAGATAAGACAGGACCGTGACCATGACCCTTGTCTCCACTCTTCATGCTATCAGAAGCAGGATCAGGAGGCTAGCGGTTCAGTTCAGGAAACAGTGGCTCCAGCACTCTTACTCTTAAGTAGAGCAGAACAGATCTACACTATATATACAAAGTATGTTGACACCACTTCAAATTAGTGCATTCGGCTATTTCAGCCACACCCGTTGCTGACAGGTGTATAAAATTGAGTACACAGCCATGCAATATCCATAGACAAACATTGGCAGTGGAATGGCCTTACTGAAGAGCTCAGTGACTTTCAACGTGGCACCGTCATAGGATACCACCTTTCCAACAAGTCTGTTCGTCAAATTTCTGCTCTGCTAGAACTGCCCCAGTCAACTGTAAGTGCTGTTATTGTGAAGTGAAAGTCTAGGGGCAACAACGGCGCAGCCGCGAAGTGGTAGGCCACACAAGCTCACAGAATGAGACCGCTGAAGTGCTTAGCGTGAAAAAATAGTCTGTCCTCTGTTGCAACATTCACTACAGATTTTTTTCCAAACTGCCTTTGGAAGCGACATCAGCACAAGAACTGTTAGTCGGGAGCTTCATGAAATGGGTTTCCATGGCCGAGCAGCCGCACACAAGCCTAAGATCAGCATGCGCAATGCCAAGCATCGGCTAGAGTGGTGTAAAGCTCGCCGCCATTGGACTATGGAGCAGTGGAAACGCGTTCTCTGGAGTGATGAATCACGCTTCAACCATCTGGCAGTCCGACGGACGAATCTGAGTTTGGCGGATGCCAGGAGAACGCTACCTGCCCGAATGCATAGTGCCAACTAAAAGTTTGGTGGAGGAGGAATGATGGTCTGGGGCTGTTTTTCATGATTTAGGCTCCTTAGTTCCAGTGAAGGGAAATCTTAACACTACAGCATACAATGACATTCCAACTTTGTGGCAAAAGTTTGGGGAAGACCCTTTCCTGTTTCAGCATGACAATGTCCCCGTGCACAAAGCGAGGTCCATACAGAAATGGTTTGTCGAGATCGGTATGGAAGAACTTTAATGGCCTGCACAGAGTCCTGACCTCAACCCCATCGAACACCTTTGGGATGATTTGAACGCCGACTGCGAGCCAGGCCTAATCGCCCAACATCAGTGCCCGACCTCACTAATGCTCTTGTGGCTGAATGGAAGCAAGTCCCGGCAGCAATGTTACATCTAGTGGAAAGCCTTCCCAGAAGAGTGGAGGCTGTTATAGCAGCAAAGGGGGGACCAACTCCATATTAATGCCCATGATATTGGAATGAGATGTTCAATGAGCTTAGTGTACTTTTGGTCATGTAGTGTATCTGTTCTCTCTCCCATCTCCTCCATCTCTGTCATCAACAGTCTAAAGAGCAGATACATACTGTTGACCCTGAGTCACCACTGGAGAGCAGTCAGAACAGGTCTAGTGGAGTTCTGTTTTTAAATTGCCTCCAGATCACATATAGCGCTGCAGCATGGGTACGAATCCGGCCCACTGCTATTTCAGCACACTCCGTCTTCTATGTTTTCTCTCTACCTCTGTCCTATCCTTTGTTTAATTTTGATAATTTAAATGTTTTTATTTTTGTATTTGTTTAATACCTATGTGAGGAATGGGACTTCCCCACTGCTTAAATTTTTTTTTTAAGGGGGAAAAGTGACTTGCATAAACCAACAGCAGTTCTAATGCTCATACGATTTCTCTTTATCTCTCCCTCTCTTCCCCATTCCCTCTTTCCTCTCTTCAGAGGGTCTCAGTCTAGAGACTAAGCAGCTCCTCTCCTCCACCTCCAAGAAGAAAGGAAAGGGTGGGGCTAAGGGGGAACCAACCAAAGAGGAAGAGGCCAAGATGGACACTCAGCCAATCAACATCAACCTCCGATTCA